AGATTCACCTAAGTGAATCTATTCTGTTACAATCGATTACTTATTAGTACTCATTCATTTTCAACCATATATTCCTTCACATAACTAGTATTTATTTCAAAATCTTTGCTTTTTATTTTAACTTTATCTAGTCATATATCTATTGTTATTTAGTTTGGTTCTGATTCGGAAATGCTTAACCTATTCATGCAGAATCCAATATCTTTAAGAATCGATCTGTCGAGTATGGAACGTGAAATGATCACCATACAGGTAAAATAAAACCTTACAAACATTTTCACGTTTCTCTGTAATCTTCTATAAACGCGTTTTCAACTAATCCTTTTGTTTGCTGTCCTGGTCGTAATACACTTCCTGATATCTGCACAAAAAGAAACTTTCTTCTTTCTTCATAATGTTATTTCATTAAAATTCTTTCAAACTCTGCTTGTATTTCTCTCATTAGATGGGTAGAAATAAGGAGGAATGAAGCGATCTTTTCTCTTGTACTTCTGTGATCTTCACTTCGTTTTGGTTCTAATTTCAAATTTCAAATAAACTCAAAGAAGTTAATAATGTCGTTGATTTCGACTCATCATATTCAACATATTCTGAATTTACACTGTATTCTTCTATAGTACCAATATCTGTTAGAAATAAGTTGATACATACTTGTTTATATCCGATTCACTTGCTATAATCTTTTAAAACTAATTATGAACAATGCCGAGAGAGTATTTAATTTTTTTACATGCCATAAATTTAAACTTACAACAAAGAAGATCGTTAGGTTTCTTGTTTAACTCGATATCATGTTAGAGAAAATAGTGAACTCGTTTGATGAGATTTAAAAACTACTGTTAGTGAACAATCTACATTTAACTACGTTTCAACTAAAGATTATTTATGCAACATTATAGAAAAACAAGATCAAGATTTTTTTGTTATGATTGCATTTACCAGTTTTTTCTGACAAACATTTCTTCTATAATAAATTTATGTAATCAATATTGATAAACTATTATTTTATTGTTAAATCTCATGTCAAACCAGAAGTATATTCTATTAGATTCGCTTTGTTATTCGTACACTTTTGTCAAAAGGCATGTAAGTTCTCTTTTGTTTTTGTTGTAGGTTCAATCGTCGGATACGATTAGGCATGTTAGAAATGTAATTGAACAACATGGTGTAAATATTACTGGACGAGAAATCCGATTTCAAGGTCAACGACTTCGAGACACAGATACATTGGACGGAATAAATATTCCAAATGGTGCAACACTTCTCGTTGGTCAGTGAAAAGTGGGCATTAAACTAAAATATTTATTTTGATTGATGAACATTTATATATCAATATCAATGATTTCTATAATTAATCTTGAAACATCATTATCAGTTTTTTTCAAAGCAAAATGTATTTTCTGTGTGCAATCAAACTAAAATTGCCAAATCTCCAAGTTTTTTCTTATTTGAAATATTCCAGACAATAAAATCTATTGATATCAATTTTAATTTATTGATCTCAAATTTTCTATTGACTTTCATGCTGATCTTATGATATCGTTCTCTGATGATAAATACTAATTCTGAACCTTTCTGTTTTGTGAATGAGACACTTGTTTCGTAGTTTTCTGTGTACATAACAATCAGCGAGGATAGTTGAGATAAATGTACAATTGAAGATCGGCTACTATTCATATTTCATTTCGATATATTATTCGAAACAGATTGACAATAATACCATTCCTAGATTCATAGCTAATATTTGAGTATTCTTTTTCTCTGTTCAAAACTAAAGAAATACTATTATTGAAAAATATTTCTATCCTATAACGGACAATTCAATTTCGTATAGAAGAATTACCGATTTCTTTTATGCATGTCGAATTAATTGCAAAAAACCTAATGTACAACCTGATTTGCATGATCATTATTTGCATCTTTGCAAAGTTTTGCATTCTTGAATGAGAAACGAAATAATGCCAAGCATCTTTTTTCGAATGATTAATAAAAACTAAAAAAAAAAGAGTTGTGTTTTAGCAATGAACACAAACAGAAACAAAAGTTTGATTGAAAAACTATGAAAAGATACTGTTATCGATTTCAAACTTTTGGACTCGATGGCTTTGCCACTCAGAAACGTATAGATTTCCATTTGAATCTAACGATAAGCCAATAGGACTATCGAGTTGATGCTCTTCTGAATCTTTCCGTCTTCCACCAACAACTATTGTTCCTTCTTTCGCATCTTTTTTCCAACGAATCACACGGTTGTTTCCACTGTCTGCAATAATAATTGTTCCAAATTGATCAACAAGGATTTTTTGAGGATTCCATAATTGTGATAAAGTTTTTCCTACTTTTCCATCACCAGCTACTAACTTTCCTCTATCCATACATGCAATCCATTTAACCACTCGATGGTTTCTTTGGTCTGATACATAAACTGAATAATTCTGATCAACAGCGACCGATACTGGACAGTTCAATTGATCGAGTTCATCTCCCATTCCTTTTCCACCGGCCACAAGTGTCCCTTCTGTATCTCCAATTTTCCATTTTCTCACTTCATGTCTTTCAAAATCACATATGTATAGAAATCCATCTTCATCCATCGTGAAACCATAGCACATAACTCCTTTAATGATAGTTTTTCCACTTGTTGCACCACGTCGTGACCATTCAACTATTCTTTTATTTTCTAAATCACATATGTACAAACAATTTCTGTTTTTATCAACAATTACATCTGTAACATAATGGAATTGATCATTTCGATCGCCTCTTCCATTGTCACCAGCAACAACTGTACCAAACTTCGCTTCTTGCTTCCATTCAACAATTCGACTATTATTCCAATCAGCTATGTAAAGAGTTCCAGCTTCATCGACAGAAAAACCCAATGGATAGCTGAGTTGATTGAATGCATTTCCACTTCCGTTTCCTCCAGCGACAATAACTCCGTCCATATGCCATGTAGAATCAAGCAAAGGAACTGAAATTTATTAGAATTATTTTAATTTGTTTTCTTAATTCGATCCTATCAAACATATACAGTAATAAATTAATTTCCAAATCAATCGAGAATGAAGAGAAGAAAACTAATCTTCAAAAGAATAGTTACCGATGAGAGATGATTAAATTTCAAAAAAGTTTATCGCGAGAGACATTTCAAATATTAGTATTATTTCCTAAAAATAGTGATAACTTAATGCATTTTTCATGAAAAAAGGCAAATGTAATGAGTCTTCTTCGAATTAAATGCTTTAAACTAATGACAAAAGGACGAGTGGCGTTAAGGCCACTTTTCGGCCCAAAATATTTTCAAGAAATAACTATATGACAGTTACCAGGTCCATATGGGCTACCAATATCACAGGGTATTTTTGTTTGAAATTACTTCCGGGTTTGGCACCTCCGTACCCCCCTAGGGGAATTCGAACAATTTTTTTTTCAAAATTTAGTTATTTAAAGTTATTGCAAATAGCAAGTCAACTATGTTGATTACAAATATCCTCATTGTAAATCTCCAGAATGTATACTGGCTTGAATTTCGAGTTTAACGTATACTCTGATTTTTGGGTCCAAATCTGGCTTTTGACCATCCTATCGCATGGTTTAACCTGTAAAATGTCTGAAACAGTTTCTAGGATATGTTGTTTATTAAGTGTAATCAGAATCTCGACGAATAAAAACTAATTAGAAACAATTAGCACTTCGTAACTACGAAACACCTTCAGAATTAGGGTAAAGTAAAAGAAGTGGACCCTATTAAAGTGCTCTTCTAGTACAGTGAACAGTTTTGAACAGAAATGAGAGTATGGAATTTTAATGTAGCTTTTCAAGCTCTATCTGAATCTGCCGTTAAACTGGGAAAAAAACATTGGCTAGCAAAAGAAATCTCAAGAATACTGTACTCGAGACAAAATTTTATGCTTTTTTGAGTAGTATCGAGTAAATTTCGATCAGAAAAGTATTGTTTGGATGAAAACCAATATGATATTCTGAATCAGCCTTCAAAACTAACGAGGGAACCGTTCCAACTGATAAATCGCTTTTTT